TAAGCCATGTTTTACAGGGTACTAGTATCATTGTGATTCTCTGTATAATATATCTATGCGGAATGGCATAAATAAAAAATGCAAATAAACAAAACAGAATGAAACATTGCACCGTGCTCGCACACTTGCACAGCACACATTGGACTGAAAAAAGAATACGTAAAAATAAAAAATAACTAAATACTGCTGTCTGTCTTCCTCAACCGGTAAAGTCGAGTGTCTAGTAAAATCCTGCCTGAAACTATAGTTGTTTTATCACTCCTCATGTTTCTCTCTATTGGTAACATTACTTAATCGTCTAATAAAATCAGCATTTAGTATCTGTCACTAAATGTGTCGGTTGTGTCGGTTCATCCAAGATTCTGCTTTGTGGTGATTCGAAAATCAAACAGAAATTCTTCCAATATTCTGAATTAGGGTTTCCGATATTTTTCTGGCACAGACGGTATTTAAGGCAGTCTGTGTGTGTGTGCATTCCGCAGTCTCTGTGTGTATGTATTTAACAGTCTGTGTGTGTGTGAATTCCGCAGTCTGTGTGTGTGTATGTATGTATTAAGCAGTCTGTGTGTGTGTGTGTGTGTGTGCATTCTGCAGTCTGTGTGTGTATGTATTTAGCAGTCTGTGTGTGTGTGTGCATTCTGCAGTCTGTGTGTGTATGTATTTAGCAGTCTGTGTGTGTGTGCATTCTGCAGTCTGTGTGTGTATGTATTTAGCAGTCTGTGTGTGTGTGCATTCTGCAGTCTGTGTGTGTATGTATTTAGCAGTCTGTGTGTGTGAGTGTATTCTGCAGTCTGTGTGTGTTTGCATTCCTCAGTCTGTGTGTGTATGTATTTAGCAGTCTGTGTGTGTGAGTGTATTCTGCAGTCTGTGTGTGTATGTATTTAGCAGTATGTGTGTGTATTCTGCAGTCTGTGTGTGTTTGCATTCCGCAATCTGTGTGTGTATAAATTTAGCAGTCTGTGTGTGTGTATTCTGGAGTCTGTGTGTGTATGTATTTAGCAGTCTGTGAATGTATTACAGCAAAATGAAATAATAAGTAGTTTTTTTTAGTGATCTATGAAATTTTCCTCTTACAAATGTATATTTCTTTCCTCCTATGTCACTCTATGTGATGGTATGTCATGTGATGTAATGTTCTGTGATGTCACGCATAAAATGTATTTTTCAAATTAGCATGGGCAGTATTTTTTCCCAAGAATGGTGACAACCCTAATCCCGAATCCACAATCTCAAAGTCTAATTAATTGTATATTGTATGGAATCCTAAGAGAATTTTGTTTGCACGTTCGGAAGTGCTGTATTGAGGGGTTTTATGTTCATTGTGATTTATACTTCTAAAAGAGCAGTATTTGTGAAAATCTTCTTAGTCAGGCTGGGGCATTTTTTAAACAAAGAAAAGGGGGAAATATAACTGGTTACAAACCATACATGTGATCACACACTTTCTCTAACACTGGTAATAAGAAGGCAAAATAAGTAAGTAAACTACCACCCCCTACTTAGTGCTAGAGTGAGGAAAAAAAGGGGCTAAAAAGATAAAGCGTACTAAATCTTAAAAAAGGTGTGATAAAGGCCACCAGGTTGAGCCTGTTGATAAAGGCTTTATTATCCCAGGCCAAAGTTCCAATGAGTACTTATAGTTAGAGTTGAGCTAACCCAGACTGTAAAGTTCGGGTTCATACCGAACATTACGTTTTTTGGCCCCCGGACCCGAACACGGACATATCAGTGTATGTTCGGGTTGGAGTTCGGTGTTCAGCGATTTAATGGTGCATTTTGAAAGGCTACAGGGCAGCTAATCAGCAAGCGTTTGACTTGTGTACCCTTAGAAGCCATCACAGCCATGCTTACTAATGGCATGGCTGTGATTGGCCAGTGCAGCATGTGACCCAGCCTCTACATATAAGCTGGAGTCACGTAGAGCCGCACATCACATGAGCTCTTATTAGTGTAGGGAGAGGAGGCTGCCGCTTTCAGGGACAAATTAGGAAAGAATTCTGCAAACTAGTACATATCTGAGAGTCAAATAGAAGTGTCAAATACTGCTGTCACATTGCAGTTTTAAAACTTAAAATGTTTGGGGTGCAAAAAGTACATTAGTGGGGTGCACTTCATATCTGAGAGTCAAATAGAAGCGTCAAATACTGTGTTTACAGCGCACTTTGACAAATTCCCATTTTTTTGCTCCTAAGAAGTACATTTGGGGCGTGCTCTTCATATCTGAGAGTCAAATAGAAGCGTCAAATACTGCGGTTGCAGCGCAATTGTAAACATTCTTATTTTCTGCGTGCTAATCTGCTAAATAGTAAATTTGGGCCCTGCACTTCATATCTGAGAGTCAAATAGAAGCGTCTAATAGTGTGCTTACATCGCAGTGGTAAACATTCTTATTTTCTGGTTGCTAATCTGCTAAATAGTAAATTTGGACCCTGCACTTCATATCTGAGAGTCAAATAGAAGCGTCAAATACTGCGGTTACAGCGCAATTGTAAACATTCTTATTTTCTGGGTGCTAATCTGCTAAATAGTATGCTCTTCATATCTGAGAGTCAAATAGAAGCGTTAAATAGTGCTGTGACATAACAGTTTTAAACAATCAATTTTTTTGCCTGCTAAATAGTACATTTGCGGCCTGCGGTGCACTTCATATCTGAGAGTCAAATAGAACCGTCAAATATTGTGCTTACATTGCAGTTGTAAAATTTCGAATTCTTTAGGTGCTAAAAAGTCAATTTGGTGCCTGCACTTCATATCTGAGAGTCAAATAGAACCGTCAAATAGTGCTGTGACATAGCAGTTTTAAACATTCACATTTTTTGGGCTGCTAAATAGTACATTTGCGTCCTGCGGTGCACTTCATATCTGAGAGTTAACTAGAACCGTCAAATACTGTGCTTTCAGCGCACTTTGAACAATTCAAATTGTTTTGGGTGATAAAAAGTAAATTTGGGGTGTGCACTTCATATCTGAGAGTCAAATAGAACTGTCATACACTGTGCTTACAGCGCACTTTGAAAAATTCAAATTGTTTTGGGTGCTAATGCTAAATAGTACATTTGCGTCCTGTGGTGCACTTCATATCTGTGAGTCAAATAGAACTGTCAAACACTGTGTTTACAGCGCACTTTGAAAAATTCAAATTGTTTTGGGTGCTAATGCTAAATAGTACATTTGCGTCCTGTGGTGCACTTCATATCTGACAGTCAAATAGAACCGTCAAACACTGTGCTTACAGTGCACTTTGAAAAATTCAAATTGTTTTGGATGATAAAAAGTTAATTTGGGTTGTGCACTTCATATCTGACAGTCAAACAGAACCGTCAAATACTGTGGTCACAGCGCAGTTTGACCAATTCAAATTTTTTTGGGTGCTAAATAGTACATTTGCGGCCTGCACTTCATATCTGACAGTCAAATAGAACCGTCAAATATTGTCGTTACAGCGCAGTTTGACCAATTCACCAGGTTAAATTGTAGGGCTGTACCGAGACACCGCTACCCACCATATCGATTGTAGGGGTGTACCAAGACACCGCTACTCCCCATCTCCATTGTAGGGGTGTACTAAGACACCGCTACCCACAAGTTCCAGTGTAGGGTGTACCAAGACACCACCACACTCCCAGGTTCGGAGCCACCGACGGGCTTGAACCTACCAACCACGTGCAACACTGCCCAATCCACACTAAACCTCAGGATGCCCACTTTCTCCTCCATCTACCCAGGCCGTTCCCCGCCGCTGTGAAAAAACGGGAAATCAACTAACCTAACCAAATACAGGGAGGGTGGGAGGGACAACTGACAGGTAAGCTTAGGTTCAGTTAAAATGGCCACTTCATATAATGGCCAGTATAAATACTCCCCTTATGGCGCCGCCCTACCGAGCAAGCTAGCTGTCACTAACTTCCTGTGGTTGCTATGCCTACCTCCTGGCTCTGTCAAGGCCTCTTCCTCTTAGCTGCGCTGATCTATGGGCTATATATCTGACAGTCAAATAGAACCGTCAAATACCAATATAACAATATTGTAATTCGGGGGCAATACAAGTCAAACTGAGAGGTCAGTTTATAGGGAAAACTGTTGACGGGATACAATTCTAAAACAATTCCCATATGTCCTTTGCAGAGTTTATATGCTGGAAAAACACAGGTGCCAACTGCTGTGGCTTTCTGCAGTGTGCAGACCGGCAAGGAGGGCAGGGTTGAGGAGTGGGTGGAAGATGATGTGGAGGATGGTGAGGTCTTAGACCCCACATGGAATCAAGGTCATGCGAGTGATGTGTGCAGTTTGGAGGAAGAGGTGCTGGTCGCACAGAGGCACCAGCACAACATAAGAGGGAGCAGGGTGCAAAAGCGGAGCGTCCGTCCCCTAGCGCTTGTTGGCATGTGTTATCTTTAGAATTCCCGTAGTTAACGAGCCATTCGCAGTTTCACAGTCCGGTGACAGGGACCCAGACACTGTCTGGGCGGCGGTCGGACGACCGGGACCCAGTATGCCTGATGTTGAAGTTAGGAGTCACAGTGTGGAATGGATTAGCAGGGTCTGGTGCAGGGTAACCGCACGCCCCCTGGTGTTGAGCACCAGCGTTTGTGTGGCCACATACCAGGACCCTGATGCAGCTTCAGTAAAAAGAGTACTGGATACCAGAAGCCATCACCAGACTGATCCGCAACTTGGAACAGGATGTGACATTCACTGTAGTGGCTGTGTGCGCTTTCGGCGTTCTCACCCTGCTGCTGCTCGCCTGTCTGCGCTGCAGCGTAACTTTAGCCTTCCAGCTCACCGCCTCATTTGCGACATGCCCACAAGGTGGAACTCCACCTTGCACATGCTGGAGAGACTGTGCGAGCAACAGCAGGCGATAGTGGAGTTTCAGCTGCAGCACGCACGGGTCAGTTGCTTTGCACGAGACTTGCCCTCCAATTGATCATAGTTAAAGGTTTTCAAGTGGACTCATTACAATTACAGGGCCTCTAAAGAGTCCTGTATTGTTATTTGATGTCACTACCTCCCTGCGTCAGAAGTGGGTAATTAGCGCGCCTGCTGCCTTTCTTGGATGTGGTAGCCGTTTCTCAGGCTGCCTCTCCGGAATCGAACCCTGATTCCCCGTTAACCATAGTCACTATGGTAGGTGCAGAAAGTGGCATTGAAAGTTCAAAGGGCAGGCATCTGAATGCAAAGTCGCTGTCACGGGGACGTGCGATTGGCCCGAGGTTCTCTAGAGTCGCCAAAGTGCCTGCGCAACAATAATGTCGACAGCTACTCTGCCGAACGGATCTTCACTAATAGGTAGGGGATGGAGGGGGGCCCTGTGCTGTTCCCTTCTCTTCCCCACTCTCTGGCAGACATCTGGCAGTACTGACTCAGATCCTGAGAGATGCCTGGCCAGCAGAAGCTGTGGGTGAGCCAAGACGCTGTCCGGCTCCTGCCCAAATGCCCTGTCAAGGGGATATCGTGAGCTAGCTTCAGCAGCTCTTACCAATACTTCTTGGGTCTGGGGAGCCCATTGAAAAAGTGCTCTAGCATGACGAGCTGGGTGATCTCTTCCGGGAACTTGGCTTGATGGGAGTTGAGCCAGCTCTGGGTGGCCCTTGTGATGAGGCATGCCCACTCCGCATGGGAGTCCTTCTCCCCTTTCCGGGTCTCCCTATACTTTCGGCGGTATTGCTCGGGGAGGACCGCATACCGGGCCAGGAGAATTTGTGTAATAAAGGGATAGTCTCTGATCTGCTCTTCCGGTACAGCCCGATAAATATCCACTGCCTTCCCTCTAGTTTGCTGGCCAGGATGGCGACCCAGTCGCTGGGGTCCATGTCTTGGAGTAGGCACTGGCGCTCAAAGTCTTGCAAAAAGTCATCGATGCCTTCTTCTGGCATTGTATGGTAGCTCGTGGGCCAGGGTGGTTGTGCTTCCCGGCGCCCTCTGCTCCCTTCTTCCTTCATCTGGGTTCATGGAGGTCGCCCTCTGTCTATTGGCAAGGACATAGGCTTGCACCTCCAAAAAGGTCCTGCTGACAATTTCCTCTGAGGGTGGCTCTCAGTAATATGCCAGGCGCCGTTCCACCTCCTTGCGCACTTCCTTCTCATCTCCGGCCCCTGGCTGGGGTTCGTTGCCTCACTGCGTGCCTGGTCGTCCTCCATGAGCGCAGCAGTCAATTCGGCCTTGTTACTCCCACCAGGCGTTATTCCTCTGGCTCCACACAAGTCCTGCAGTGTAGGTCGCTTTAGAGCACTGTAGTCCATGGGTCTGTTGGCAGGGACATTGGATCCCGCCGCTTGCCACCAATTGAAGCGGGACCTGGTTAACCGATGGTTATCCCCTTTGATTAGAATAGTTCAGACCCATTTCCCCAGTAACCAGATGGGACACAGTTCCAGGATGCAACGTTTGACAATCTTTATTTGGGTGCACAGCTTTGCCTCCTCCTCCTACTCCGCTTCCTCCTCCTCTACCACCTCCTCATCCGGTCAGCGTAACACCTTCACCACCAACTTCAGCACAGACAGGGGGAAACGACAGCAGGCTGTTTTAAAACACATATGTTTGAGGGAAAAAATCCAAAACGCGCATGAGCTGTTGACGGGCATGGAACAACAGACCGATGAGTGGTTGTTGCAACCGAGCCTCAAGCCCGGCCTGGTGGTGTGCAATAATGGGCAAAATCTCGTAGCAGCTCTGGGCCTAGCCAGTTTGACGCACATCCCTTGCCTGGCGCATGTGCTGAATTTGGTGGTGCAGAAATTCCTGAAAAACTACCCATATATATCAGAGCTGCTGCAGAAAATGCGTGCCGTCTGTGCGCGCTTTTGGCGTTCTCACCCTGCTGCTGCTCGCCTGTCTGCACTGCAGCGTAACTTCGGCCTTCCCTCTCACCACCTCATATGCGACGTGCCCACAAGGTGGAACTCCACCTTGCACATGCTTGAGAGACTGTGTGAGCAGCAGCAGGCGATAGTGGAGTTTCAGCTGCAGCACACACGGGTCAGTCGCTCTGCAGAACAGCACCACTTCAACACCAATGAGTGGGCCTCCCTGCGAGACCTGTGTGCCATGTTGCACTGTTTCGAGTACTCCACCAACATGGCCAGTGCCGATGACGCCATTCTCAGCCTTACTATCCCGCTTCTATGTCTCCTTGAAAAAACGCTTCGGGCGATGATGGAAGAGGATGTGACACAGGAGGAAGAGGAGGAGGAAGAGGGGTCATTTCCATGGTTATCAGGCCAGTCATTCACAAGTGGCTTGGAGGGTGGGTTCCTGCACCAGCATAGGCCAGGTACACAATTGTCCAGCATCTCCACACTGTCCCATGGAAGCGTTCAGCTGTCCATCTCCCAAACACTGAATAGAAAGAGGAAGTACCCCCCCTAGCCACCCATGATCCCTGGCCCTGAATGCCAGCATTTCAAAATTTGTGGCCTTTGAAATGCTGTCATTCCGTCTGGTGGAGACAGACAGTGTTAAAAACCTGATGACGTTATTGAACTGCAAGAAATGCACCACAGGCCACAAATGTTTCTTGTTTTATATGTCCAATATTTTGAGGGCTTCCCTCAATTAAAAAAAAAACAAAAATAAAAATAATAAAAATAAAAAACAGTGTTGGCCTCCTCCTCCACCGCCGCTTCCACCTACACCGCCACAGTCACTGCCTCCTTAACCTATGGGTCCCTTAGTATAAACTATGTACACAAAAGCAGAGGCTTGTGAAGGCCTTTCTGCATGCATCAGGAGTTGAGCTCAGTTTGAACAATGAAAGAGAATACCCTGCACAACCCTCTCTCAAATGGATAATTCTGGTGATCCTCCTGACAGCCATGCTTTAGATTTTGATTTATGTTCTTCCAAAGCTAAAATCAAAGATTCCATTTAGTGCTCTTTTATGGCTCAGCTGTATTTTTAATTTTGAGGTATTTTATGTTATTTTAAGTGATTTCCCTATCCACATTTGTTTGCAGGACACTTGTCCTACTCTTACCCCCATTTTACTTCCTTTTGAAGCCCTCTAGCCCTTTCCAGGGCTTTTTTAGAGTCATTTTTGGGCCCAAAAGTTCAGGTCCCCATTGACTTCAATGGGGTTCGGGTTCGGGGTCAAGTTCCCGAACCTGGAGGGTTTTTTTTAACGTTCGGCCGAACCCGCCGGACCCGAACATCCAGGTGTCCGCTCAACTCTACTTATAGTCTAAGCTTAGAAGTGCATGACTATATCACAATTATAAGATACAAATGTATCCAATAGTATCAATGTAGAAATTCGGCAAAATACTCACTAAAAAGTAAATGAGTGATCTATGAATATGGAAACTGTGTGAGAAATGCCACAAAAAAATAAGTAAAAAGTTATATAGTCATTGCACCTTGTCAGTCCTAAGTAACCGATCCTGTCCAAGTAAATGTGGCTCAAATATATATACAATCCATGTGAGAGAGGAGAACATGAACACTAAACAAAATAAATACAGTTCAAGTAGCATTGGAGGAGTGCTGTGTGACCTATTATAAAGAGGTTGAGGGTAAGTAATGACAATGCAGAGGACAAACTAATATTCAAGCTGCCCTGCCTATTGTTACTAAACTTCACACAAGCATTCTAAGTGCATTGTAGTATATCACAGGAAGGATAAAATTAGAAAGAGGTTCCCTCTCTGTCTTTTAAACTAACTGGACAGGAAGGACAGAGATAGATACAGATAATTAAAGCATCAAAGAGTTAAATAAAAAAGAAGAAAGAAATATTGTGCATGGTGTGTATGTAATAGTGCACATTGCTCGTGAGAAAACAAATGTGCCCGGCGACGGCGTGCGGTTCGGTGCAAAAAGCAGTGCATTAGACTGCATTTTGTAAACACTACACTAGATTTATTGTACCACGGTACTTGATGTACCAAAGGTGAAAAAAAGTGTGTTTGCCTGATTGCACAAGAGATGGAGTTGTTTCAGATCTACACAGATGTAGAATAAAGTACAATTTGTCTCTGTTTCTGCAGGGTTCCATCATTTATTAACTCTTGTTCTTAAACAATTTTCTGTACTTATATTCTGATCTAATTGCTTTATTTGTTACAGATAAAGTTTATTGTCCCACATTTATTGGAATCCTGCTCATGTTCCTTCAGCAAACAACTAGCATGGCTAACATAAAAATAAACAAATTCTTCAAGCGATAATGTTGAGCATCATTTTAGTGACATTAATGAGAGAACATTTGTCCCAGGATGTATAAACACTGAGTAAATAGTGTTAGGGCTTAAGGAACCACCTAAAATCCAAACTATGGGAATTCTCTGAGTTGGTGAGGGGCACACTTGAAATATCAGTCTGTGAAAGTATTGGATGTAAGGCAGGTCCACCGTCTTAGACTTTTCCAAAGTCTAATCCAATGGGGATACTGACAAAATTTGGACCATTGGTGGTACCATGATGACTGAGTTGGGAACCACTGATTTAGAAGACTATTCACATGGTGCTAGTAGAATACACTGAATATTGAATATTTAGTTTTTTAAAAGAAAAAGAAAGCATCCAGGCATTTTTTAAACATTTTTACAGAATTATGGTTTTATATATCTAAATATATACTTTATCTTAAAAAAAACTGTTAAATGAGACACACTGATTAATATTGGTGCTGGACCAACAATCTATGACCTGCTCTCACCTTCTGAAGTCTTTACCAACATTATTACCACCAACTTTTCACCGAATCTCAACTCAAAATCTCACGAGCTAAAGAAATGGCTGAAAAAGGAATCTAACATGTTGGGCTGGACCCTCTATTTAAAATTTGTTTGTGATCTAGAAGGGAAAAGGTATGATCAATCCAATAATGAAGATTTAATAAGGAAAGTTTTTCAATGAAGCAGAGTGTAGCTTGATACTTAAGCTAGGAGGTAACATGGTTATGATGCATATATGAGTGTGAGTCAAAAATCATAAGGAAAAAAAGGCTAAGTGAAATTGTGACTACACATCACACACAACATGCAAACATAACCCTAGAGAGTATATTTCCAATAAAATATAAAATATTTTATAAAAATTTGCTTCCCTTCCAAACATGAGGTTTATTTATTAAAAATAGAAGCATTGCAAATTGCATATGTTTTTCAAATGCACAGATATTTGTTCTCTAATAGTATTGGTTCATTTGAAAAGCTTATTAAATCAAGGACCAAACAACTTGCTTGAACAATTAACAGCAGTCAGCAAATTAAACATCAAATATAGAAAATAGTACATAAATGTTGAGGAACAATTGTCATGTGTATGATAAAGCTTTGTGCGGATCAAATCATATGGGCATTTATGTGTCTTACCATGTAAAGATTAATACAAATGATAGCGTTGTTTTTTTTCTGTGTCATCTGAGGATCAG